AAACCTAAAATTAACCCCTAAACCTAACCCCCCTAAACCTAACCCTAAACCTAACCCTTAACCTAAACCTAACCCTTAACCTAAACCCTAAACCTAAAATTAACCCCTAAACCTAACCCCCCTAAACCTAATCCTAAACCTAACCCTTAACCTAACCCTAACCCTTAACCTAACCCTAAACCAGATCTTTGACCAGATCTGGGATTACCATGGCACAGCCCACCTGGAAAGAATATATCAAACAATATACTTGGAGCAGGCCCCCGGTTTTTGTTTTCTTTTTGGTTGCTTGTGTTGCTTTGAAGTAGAGACATTACAAACCAGGAAGATGAAAGTTTTGTGTTTTTCAGACACTAAATTAGAAGTGCTGTTTGGACTTGACTTGAATGCCGGCTTCCTTTTTCAGCACAGCACCCCAGCAATTAGTCCAGGGGGATCAGAAGGAGCCAAAGCCAATAATTAGCCTTCCACTGGCCCCTCCGAAACATGTGGGGAGTGATGACACAGAGGGTTTAGTCCCATGATGGCGAACCTATGGCATGTGAAGCCATTTCTAAGGGGCCACTGCCAGCTCCAGAGCGCATGCGCTCGCTGGCCTCTGATTTTCAGCCCTGATTTTCGGCTGTTTTTCACCCTCTGGTTGCTTCCCTAAAGGAAAAATGGCCCAAGGTGCAAACCGGAAGTCCGTTTCCAAACTTCCGGTTTGCATGTTTGGAGGGGGGGGGGTGTTGTCCTCCCCAGACTCCTAGAAAGCCTCTGGAGCCTGGGGAGGGCGAAAAACAGACCTACCGGGCCCACCAGAAGTCAGAAAAACGGTCCGTTTCCGGCCTCCGGAGAGTCTCTAGGCGGTGGGGGAGGCCGTTTTCTCCCTCCCCAGGCTCCAAGAAAGCCGTGTGTGCATAGACGGGGCAGCAAGGGGGGGGGTGTCACGCACATGCACAGGGGCCACGGCTTGGTGGGGGGACATTAAAATATGGGGGTGGGCATAACGAGTGCTTTTGTCACCCGAGGCGAACAAGGTTCGCTGGTTTAGTCTGTGCATTTTTATATGCGCTTTTAAATTAAGAGGACGAGGGGAATGGATGGCCATGAGGACATATTGTTGAAGGTATGTTGTGTGTGAATTGAGGAAGATGGAATAGAAGCATTTTAACGGGAATGGATATGCAGGTAGTCCTCGACTTACAGCAAGTCATTTAGTTATAACCAAAGTTATAACAGCACTGGAAATGACTTTATGAGCATTTTTCACATTTATGGCCATTTCAGCATCCCTATAGTCACGTGATCAAAATTTGGATGTGTGGTAACTGACTCATATTGATGACGCTTCCAGTGTCGCAGGGTCATGAAATCAACTTTTGCAAACTTCGTATAAGCAAAGTCAGTGGGGAAGCCAGATTCCCTTAACAGCTGTGTTTGCTAACTTAACAGCTGCAGCAATTCACTGAATAACTGTAGCGAGAACGGTTGTAAAATGGGACAAAATCCACTTAACAAATGTTTCGCTCAGCAGCAGAAATTTTGGGCTCAGTTGTCGTACGTCGAGGACTGCCTGTATGTAAGCTGCAAATGGGTGGGTGTGAAGAGGGGAGGGGATTCAGATCTTGTGTAGATTTCCTATACTCAGTCCTAAACACACATAGAAATACACACACACACACACACACACACATACAAATACACACATGTGCACATGTTCCCAAACCCTGAACAATTCCAGAGTTACTTCCATAATGTGAACTAATGCCCAACCAGAAGTCCTAGTATTTGAAAATGAGACACAATAACATCTGATCGTTTTTTTGGTGAATTTCCCATTGGATTAAGAGGAGACAACATGCTTTGTAGGACTAATGCCGGTCTTAGAATAAAAGGGGCTTCTGTTTACATTCAGTGAAAGTTCTTTGAGTAGCAGAGGGCTTCGATGACTCACTCTTGTTACTCTTTACAGACTGATAAATGGTTTATTGGGTGATGGTGTAAAGAAATAAATAGTTGCTTAGATACATATTCTCGCTCGCGTTTCAAGTAGACTTGAGTTATGGCATCTCTTAATGCAGGAACCATATGCTGCTGGTGGCGCTTTGCATATCTACAGCTGCAGATTCGATTTCTGCCCTCAGTTCAAAGGCTTTTTGCGCCGCTGAGCTTTATGAGGTGTGGAGTCGGATGGGATTATCTCAGAGGTCCTCCTCCTGCCAGTTGGAAAAGGGTCAGAAGACGCCTGGAGCTAATATTGTATTTTCCTTGAAATATTAGTGTATTTCCCTGAAAACAAGACCCACCCCCAAAATAAGCCCTAGCCTGATTTTTAACTGTGCAGTTAATATAAGCCCTACCCCCCAAATAGCCCTAGTGAAGGGGGGGTGGGAGTGGCCAGCATAGGAGGTGGTACAGCCCGTGCAGTGCAGGTGAGTTGATTACCTGTCCAAGCAGCAGGCAGAGGTAGAGGCGTGGAGGAGAGGGGAGGGAGGCAGTTGATCAGATGCACTGTGTGTGCTAGTGGGAAAGCCGAGGGTCAGTGGGCCGGAATTGGTGGCCAGCCATGGGAAGCTCATCTTCACATCTCTTGGCTCGCCTGCGACCTGCGCTTGGACTGGAAATCAACACACCTGCGCTGCATGGGCCGCACAGCCCCAGGGTGTGCCGGCCAAGGGACCAGTGGGTGCAGCTGCTGCCAGAGACCATAGGTACCCATGTGCTTGCTGCCCCTTGTGCACATGCCCAGCTGGACTGTTGACCCTGAAATCGTGTTGCTCCAAAAAATAAACCCTAGTGCTTATTTTGGAGCCCGGGAAAAGTATTAGACCGGGTCTTATTTTCGGGGAAACATGGGTGTCTTCTGGAATGCTCTAAAATAGAGGAGCAAAAGAAAACAGGCGGAGCATCTCTGACATTTTCGTACCTTTTAGCCGCAGAGTCTTTGATCCCACTAAAGCTCATCAAGAAATTAGCTTCATCGGAATCATAAGGAGAAATAAATGGATCGTTTGCTTTTCTGTATTCCTTCCATTCAGCCAAACAATTCAAAGAAGAGCATCAAATCTTGGTTTCCCAGTGTTTATTTTTGGACAGTGAAACTAAAAATGTGATAAACTCGTTGGTAGAAACGGAGGTAAAAAGAAAACGGGGTTCCAACAATGAATAAGCGTAAAAGCACACTTGGGCAGGATTTATTTTGGCCATTTAATCTATAGGTAGTCCTCCACTTACAACCCTTTGTTAAAAACCGTTCAAAAATACACTGAAAAATCGGTCCTCATACTTATGACTGCCAAGGCCATTCTCCATGGTCACGCGAGCCAAATCTTGGCACTTAGCAACTGGCTTTATTAACGACAGTTGCAGTGTCCCTGTGTTACGTGATTGCCATTGGCAACCTTCCCAGCCGTCAGGGAAAGTCAATACGGGAAACCTAATCGCTT